CCCCAAAACCCCAAAACCCCAAAACCCCAAAACCCCTCCTACGGCAATTTTGATTGAAAACTTGCCAGTTTATTCAGCAAATGAGCTCTGAGATAGCTCAGAGCTGTCTAAAGTTGAAGCATACACTTCAATGTCCTCCATATAGCCGTTGAAATATGTCTTAAACCCGCAAACTTTTAACTTGAGCTTCTTGAAATTTCAGGATTGGGTCTTAAGGAAAGCATCGACTAGACTAGCCCGCTTTAGAGAGAAAGAATCCTCATATGAGTTGTGAAATAACTCCTCATGCTCATTTGCCCTTCCTCAAGCTTCGGAGTTATGGCTGTCTCTGAGCAATGCAGCATTTTCAACTTTCTCCTCTTGCGACCCTAGACCAAGAGACCTAAATAAAGCTCTACTTTTTCGACTGTCGTCATTAGATGTCTTGCTCTGTACAAGATCGACCTCTTTTAGCATATTGGGGCCAGCATTATTTGAGCTCAATTTCTCCTTCATTAATCACCAATTTTCTATTATTAGTCCCGATCTTAAAAGACCTAATGAATTTATTTTTGAGATGAGTAAGAACAGCTAATGTAAACGATGTAATCGTCCTCTTCAATATCGATCTCTGATTTACTTACAACTCTCTGACCTGAGGCAAGACTTGTCAAAGGCATGCTTTGAGGTAGTCTCCTTGCCATCCTGGTTTACATAAGTAACATCCATTCCGCACACGTAGTAGTCTGAATATACAACAATCTTATTTAATCCTGGTTTGCTCTGCATCATTCGAGATTATCCTCCAATCATCGAAATCTTTATATAAGTTAGCATTAATAGGGTTGATATCTTGCTGGCTATCCCCGTTACTTTTACTATCCTCGCTATCGTTGATCTTAGACCTTTCTTGAAGGACTTGGCTCTTCTCATATCTTGGAATGCTAAAAACTAATCAGTATCCAGTTATTCCAAATGTTATTAAGAATTAACATGGTTACAAAATCTTAACTAAAAGCTACGTCCATACAACCCCTATATAACTCAACTCATACTTCTCATTTTCCTGGTCTACAAAAACCCTTGGGGTATGCACGAACGAGACCAAATACAGATCTCCCTCCAGCTTCTGCACAAAACTCCCTAACCTAGAATCTTTCCTATCTAGGCACTGATCTTGCTTGAGTCATCAATAAGGAACCCCCATTCTTCTAGTTCAAAATAATATTTCTTTGTAAATATTCTTCAGAGGGGTTTTGGGGTTTTGGGGTTTTGGGGTTTTGGGG